TCATGTCTGCCCATCTAGTTGTTATTTACTAAACATACACAGCAATCTCCAAACTGACATAAGTGCTCTCTGTGTGATAAAATCTGGAGATTTTTATTTTCACTCTGATTAATTTCTTGAAATTTTTAACCCTTTTTACAAAACAGTTATTTTGTTCTTAATAAATACTATAAAATAAAATGCATATTGTAACTTATACTATCTTGTTGATAATAAACACCTATTTTTTCCTACTATTTTCATGTTGAACCAATGAAGTAAGTGGATACTACTGTCCTCATCTCAAGCTGAGATCTGAAGGCCCTACCGTGGCCCACAGGGCTAGTCTCTTGGGCCATTGGGATGCTAATTCAGTGCTTTCAGGCATGTTAGCCTTAGACCTTTGTTCAGTGAGGATAATAAAGAAGTTTTAAACAAACTCAAGGGTTGACTATAATGGGGAACCAGATAACTTTTTTGATTTAGAATTTTTTTTATTTGTTCTTTTTAGTTACACATGACAGTAGAATGCATTTTGACATATCATATATACAGGGTGTGTAATTTCTCATTATTGTATGTGATGTGGAGTTGCATAGGTTGTGTATTCATAAATACACATAGGAAAGTTATGTTTGATTCACTTCTACAAGTTCCCATTCCCATCCCTCCTCCCTTTCCCTCATTACCCCTGTCCAATCCAGTATCCAATCCCCACCCCCGCAACCCTGCCTATTGTGAGTCAGCATCTGCATATCAAAGAAAACATTAAGACTTTGGTTCTTTGGGATTGGCTTATTTCACTTAGCATGATATTCTCCAGCTCCATCCATTTACCAGCAAATGCCATAATTTCAGTATTCTTTAAGGCTGAGTAATATTCCATTGTACATGTACCACATTTTCTTTAACCATTCATCTATTGAAGGGCACCTAGGTTGGTTCCATAGCTTAGCTATTGTGAATTGAGTTGCTGTGAACATCAATGTGTCTATTGTCACTATTGCATGCTGACTTTAAGACCTTTGGGTATATGCTGAGGATGGGGATAACTAGGTCAAATAGTAGTCATATTCCAAGGGAAAACCAGATAACTTTAAAGATAAATAATCCAGTGGGAGAAGATAGATAGCAAATTATGCCAGGCCTTTTTCCCACTGATGCTAAATCCACAAACAAAATCAGACATGATGCTTACTAAAATGCCAACTCTTGTTCTGACAGCATTCAGGGAGCCACAATTCTTGATTGTTAGAAGATCCTACAAAGTTTTCAGTTAAACCTATGTTCATTGTCTAAGTTTGGAAAAGTATCAGTGGAGAAACAACCAGACAACTGAAATTTTTTAAGTGTCTTTTTATTCCCCCACCTACCACCAACTATGAGCAATTACATTAGGGAAGAAGGGAGATCTTTATTGCTCAAGTTAGCTTTGGGTGAGGACAGGAAATTGCATCGTTTAAAATAGATAAGATTTCTCATCACATAAACATACAATAATGGCCTTCTGTCATTCAGGTTTACATTTATTTTGCTTAAAGTGAGCTCTTACCCTGATGTCTTCCTATAATTGACATATGACCGAGGGCACATTTAAGTAAATATAAGTGCAGAAAGCATCCTCTGTCTTTATAAGAAATCTTCAGACTTTCAAAACAGACAAACTTTACTTTGTTGCTAAGCAACTGTCATGCAACTCAGTCCATCAGACAGTAAATAAATTATGACTTTTACAATGAAGAGAAAACTCTTTTCTCCCTGTTGGTGAACAAGCCACAACTTCCTTTCATGCTATGCTAATCCACCACAGCCCTTTAAAGCTGTTTTACAAACACCAGTGTTTTGGCAAGATAAACAAGCAAATGAATAACACAGCAATGACCCAGATGCCGTTTGCAAACTGCACGCTAAGAAGCATCAGTTCCATTTTCTTCATTCCTACAGGCCTGAGAACCTAAGCCCCCAAGCCTGGTGGAGAGAAGGAAGTTTACTTCACACCCACATTCTTCCAAGTAGCAGAATATAAGCAAGCTTAAACAAAGAAGATTATGGAAGTTTCTGTCAGCAGGCTCACATCATGGCTACAGGGTCAGGCATGATTCTTTAGAAGGGAATAAGGGTGATTTCAGTCATGATAGAAACAGACATCTGAAGGGACAAGATGTTACAAGGGGGTGAGAACTTTGTGGCTCATGAACCAGATGTGGGCCACATCCACACTGAATGTGACCTGCTCAGTGTTTAAAATGTATTTGCTACTGTTTCGACTCTTTGCATGAAAATCTAAGTAGCTCACTTTCCTGGAAATATCATAAAATAACATTGTTGTTGTTGTTTTTATTTTCAGAGTAATCAGTTAAAATTTGCTTCCAGCAGGAAAACTGGAAATAATCCAAACATCTAACCATAGAAGAAGTAGATTAATTGTGGTCTAGCCAGTAATGGATTACTACAGACCAGTAAACAGAGATAACTACTGATATACTCCATAATATGAATGGATTTCACATATGTCGAGCAAAAGAAACCAAATATCAAAGTACATGCTTCCGGGTTCCACATATGTGAAGTTCAAGGCCAGTCTAAACAAGTTGATGGCAATGGAAGTCAGCATAGTTCACTTCTTATGGAAGGGGTTTGGGATGATGAAAATGTTCTGTATCTTGATCTGGGATGGGTACTGTGAATGCATATATAAAACTTATCAACCTATACACTTTTTCTTGAGCACTTTACATAACTCACTATGCATTTTATACCCTAATAAGAAATAAAAATCAGCTAAAAGAATATAATGTCAAAGAGCAGCTGGTATTAGAAGTGGGGCATAGGACTTCCATCTAGCCCATACCCAACTACTGGCTCTTATATCTGGTTGAATCTGAATCTGATTCTGTGGGAGGTGGAGACCCAACAATCTGTTTTAACAGTTCTCTAGCTAGTCTGCTACACTCTGAAGTTTGAAGAAGGAAAAAAAAACTGTCCTAGCTTACTATGTACACTAAATGACATGGTGGAAAAGTAGATGTCCTGATTAAACCATCCATGCCCTATTGCCATTCCCCGCAACGTAGTCCAAGAAACTCACCAAGGAGACAGTTAAATGTGATTTAAACATTGTCTATTCATGTTTCAAAACATCACATGGTACTCTGCTAATATGTTAAATGTTTATGCTTAGATGTATACATTTTAAATTTTTAATTTAAATTAAAAGAAGAAAATAAAGAGTAGAAAAATCACTTGGCTTGTGAAAAGAACTTCTGTCATGTTTAAGTAATGAAACCCCTGGAATGAAATGAGCAATCAGCACACCTTATTCCTGTTTCAATCACCAGACACATTTGGTGTATTAGTACAACTAGATCCAAGTTCCTCTCTTAAAAAAAATGAAAAAACAACTATATCTTTCTGACTATGGGAAAATTACCAAGACATTAAGCATTCATATGCTGTGAAGATATAAATGGAAATCTATATATGAGGAGGTAGCTTGGCTCTAGAACTCATAAAAATACACAAATTAAGACGAGTAAACCCCATTCCCACTGTAACTTACCTAAAACACCATTGATGGATCTTTGTTTTCTGGGAAGTTATCAACATTTCAAGAAGATATCCCCCAACCACCTACTACGATGTAGCCAAAATGAACACTCTGTGACAAAGGCATTTCTGAATCAGTTCAAAGAGTCAAGGAGGTGCTTACTATATACCTATTCACTGATTAATATCATCTTGAGAAGCAATTGTATAATATGCAAACAACATGGAACAATATTAGAAAATAACCAGTAATAGGACAATAGCATTCTCTTTACATTTAGAGAAAAGAATAAGGAGGAGTAACTATCCCCTTTTATCAGATTGATTATTTTTATCAAATTTAAATATGATTTCAAAGAGAATTTATGTTTGTGCTCATGTTGGCATTTCAGAATGCCCTCTCATTTAGAGAGAGTAGGTCAGGGAGGGAAGGAGATCTGAGAATAACAAAACATAATAATAGAGCAATATAGTGATTGTATTTTTGGTAGTAAGTCTCTGAAAGGTTTTGCTCGATTTCTTATGGTAGATAATAAGAAATCAACTTCAAAATTACTTTTGACTACTAAACTTACCACACATTTGTCAAATGCTTGGTTTGAAAATAAATCTAAAAATTATATGACCAGGGTTTCACGGGCATGCCACCAGGCACTCACCAAAACACCACACTCACAAGGAGTCCACAAGCTTGGTTGGGGTTTGATATTCTGTGGTGTTTTAGAGTGAAGTTCCATGGGACAATGCACTACAGGCTTAGAGCTTACCATAACACATCATCTGTTCTTCTGCCACCCCACCACATCCCAGGAATAGGTTCTTGGTTCCTGGCTCAGCCATCCTGCTCAGTAATAGTTGTCCTGCACCTGTAGCCAGAACCTGGGCACAGGCAATAAAGGGTCAAAGCAAGGTGCAGGGGAGTACCTCAGATACCTGGGAGGATCTACAGTTGCCCTGTTGGGCAGCCTCCAATTCTCCATGACCAACTGTCCAAGGACACTTGACATTAACTAGCAAATAAGACACTATGATCAACTAAGAGAAAACCATAGAGAAAATGAAACGTTTTATTTTATTTTTTCTTCTTTCTGAGCAAGAAATCCACATCTTTACTTGGAATCACCCTATAAATTATGTAGTGATTCCCAAATGTGACTATAAGTGAGCAAAAAAGCAAATGAGGAAAGCAACGGATATAGGAGAAATAGAAGAATTAATGGGTATGCATCAGAGGAACAGGGAGATAATTATGGGTCAAGCTTGTGGACTCCTTGTGTTTGTGGTGTTTTAACTGGTTGAATTCCATATTGTTAACATTGAACCAGATACATTATTTTCAGAATTATTTATTTCTGATTAAGAAAGGGACATACACCATAAAACATTCAGATCTACTCAGATAATAACAATGGGAATAGAAATCTACCTTTGAGGCAGCAGCATAGCTCAGGGTGTTGGAAAGTAACAGTATCTACAAAAATCACAAATTACCACCATCCATTCCAATTCCCAGTACTATTTAGTTTGCGTTGTGATTCCAAATCTCCTGTTTCTCCAAGCATCTCCAGTATGTCAAACCTGAGCACTCAATTTAAGAATTTCCAAACACAATGCAGGTTAATAAAGAGTGAGAACATTATCTTTTTACCTCTGAGTTAGCTACCTCCAGTTTTACCAAAGGATATCTTTTGTTTTCCAGCACTTTTACCTGCCAGAGGATGACGTTGTCTAAACACATTTTCAATGTTTTCTTTTTAACAGTTAATATATTTCCAGGATGCAAGTCCATTTCTTCTAAAAAGTTCCTATGACACCCATTGAAAAGTCAAAAGCAATGAACTAAAAGGGATTGCTATTTTGTTAGAGAAGAACGACACCCTTTGTATTGAAGTGGGGAATTACAGACTGTGGTCACCCTCTGCACAGTGTCTCTTTGTCAAGTAATACATGCTGAAAAAAATAATACAGATGGGAAAATATTGTGCACTGTCAGATCTTGGAAACAGCCAAAGGATTTTTCCTCACCAATGTCTTGTCAATGACTTTCACATTCTGGCACCCTGAAAAAAATAATGCATACATTTAATATGGAATGAATGCAATAATAATCAGGCAGGTAATCGTTTTCCCAAGGAATGTAAAACTTGACAAATGTAAGGTTTATGATTCAAGGTAGGCTTGCCAAATCTTATGTGGCATGAGACCATTTTTATTACCTAAACAGTCCTTAACACAAAATGACTGGCACATATTTTTATTAACACAAAGAGTGTATTCTTTCTGCCACATTTAATAGAGAGCCAGTGGCTGAAAGCTCTCTTTTAGGATATATGTCTGTACCAAATTAAAATGCAAAGTGAGGATTCACGGGATGGCATTTTTCTTGGGGATGCTCTGTCTAACAGGCTCAAGAAAGTAGTGAGTAAACCGTTTAATTTCAGGAGTTCTCTCTTTTGAACAATCTGGATCCTTTGGGTCACACACAAAAAAGAATCCCTCTTTAGCTTTGAAACTGGGGTAGTTGATGATTTATTCAAGGTCATTCTTTGCAGCTAGAGGTTCATTCTGTGCCAAATTCAAAACTGTCGCTAATAATAACATTTATCTATTCTTTCAACAAATATTTATTTGTTGTTATTTGAATGTCAAGTACTGCAGTAGGCATTGAAAAGCTACAGTGAAGACAGCAGACAAAGATCCCTGCTTAACATTTCTTATATCTGAGAGGACATGTAAATTAAAAAGTGAATCATATGAAATATTATATATAGAAGGTAATGGATGCTAAAGAAAAACAATGGCATAAGAACACTGGGAAAGAAAATTGGAAGATAAAGGGATGGGAAATGGATTGTTATTTTAAATAGAGCAGCCAAGGTGGGCCTTTGTGGAAAAAAAAAAAAAGTACAATTTCTATGTGAAAGCACTGAGAACCCAAGGACGTTCTTCATAGAGATATCTGTGAGGAATCATCCATTAGGAGGAAGCAGCCAATGCAAAATTCCTAGGCCAAGATGTGTCCGACAGAGATAAGGGACATCAAGGAGGCAAGGGTGGCCCAGGAGGAATAACCAAGGGTGACAGTGGAGGAAGCTGTGATCACAAAAGCAACAGAGGTCAAACTGCATATGGCCTTGTGAACCGTGGTAAGGACTTCAGTACTGGGCTCTGAGTAAACCAAGAGCTCTTGGACAGGTCTGATCAGAATATTAATGTGATCTGAATTAAATGATTTGAATTTAAACTGATCATTCAGCTAGGATGATCAATAGAGAACCTCAGAAGGGAGGTCAGATGGAGAGGCAGACCAGCAATACCCACAGGAAGAGAGATGATGATGAACCTGGCAGTGGAGGTGATGACTGAGGGCAGATCCTCATTATATTCTGAAGATAGAGCCCTTGTGGATGTGAGGGAATGAGGACAAAAAGAAGACCACTCAGGAATGACCCAATATTTTTGATGTGAGCCACTTAAACTTAGTGCTATCATCTGGATCATAAGTGTCCTGGGGTATTCCGTCGGTGTGTTACAGGCTTGGTCTCGAGCCTATGGTACTATTGAGGAGGTAGTGAAAGGGTTAGATCCTTGAGGGCATATCTTCAAAGGGTATATCAAGACCCCTGCTCCTTCCTTTCTCTCTTTCTCTTTCTCTGCTTCCCAGCCACCATGAGGAGAAAAGTTTTCCTTCCAAGGTGCTTCCACCATATTTTCTGCCTCACCCCAGACCCAAAGCTATAGGATCCAGCAACCATGGACTGACACTTCTCAAATCATGAGCTAACATGAATCTTTCCACCTTGCAAGTTGATTATCTCAGTTTTTTTATCACAGCAACAGAAAGCTGACTAACACACGTCGTATAAGACTGAGACAAGAGAAACTACAGGTGGAACTAATCTAATGGAGAAAGTTAGCAACTTAGTTTTGAACAAGTGGAATTTGACATGCCACTTAGATAGCCAAGTGGAAGTGTTGACAGGTCAGTGAGATTTATATATTGATATGTTATGAGATGAGAAAGGGCATAATGTAGCATTCACCCTTAAGGTACTCGTATCCACCAAAATATCCCTAATAAAACTATCAAGGATAGAATCTAACTGCTCACTATAGAATCCCTCAGTTCAGTGTGCTCTGAACCAAAACTGAAAATAGGAAGTCATCTTCAAATTTAATGTGCACCAAATGATTCCATTTTCTTCCTGCTCAAAACCACTTCTCTCCATCAAGGAGCCTGACTTAAAGTCCACAGAAGAAAAGAAAGTTGTAGATGTGAATAAGAGCCTTACCACTCAGAGCCATGGCCAACCGGAATTCTTCCTTGAGTATCTCAAGGACATCTTGGACACCTTTCTCCCCCTAAAGAAGTAAAAGACACAGAACTATTGGGTAAATCAGTTGGACTGGTTTCAGTAACTGGAAGGAAAAAAAAAAAAAGCAAATTTGAAATTGAATAGCTTACTTTTCTTTAAAAGTCCAACTATGTCACTATTGATTCATCTTGCTTTATATATTTATTTATTTGTCTAATTACCTGGAAGGCCAAGCCCCATATGATGGGTCTCCCCACAAACACAGCCTTGGCACCCAGGGCCAGAGCTTTCAGAACATCAGTGCCTTTCCTTACACCCCCATCCAGGAAGACTTCCACCTTTCCCTCCACGGCCTCCACAATTTCTGGCAGAACGTCAATCTGTGAAGAGATAAGGTCAATAGTTTCATACTATCAATGTTGAATTTTTATTCAATTCCACTTTCAAGGACCACTAGCCCACCCAACCAAGTCTTAAGAGAGAAAGAAGCGGAGTAGGCCTGGGTGAACAATAAAATTATTTCCCCTTGAAAAAAAAGAAGTACAACTGTTAGTAACTGAAACAAAACAATGACCAAAAATAAAAAGTAAATTTGAAATTTAGTAGCTTATTCTTCTTTCAAAGTCAAATATTGGCTTGTTTTACTGATATTCAAATTCTAGGGCTATGATAAAAAAATTATAATTTTGAAGCAATTTGATCTTTTATAGCTTTTCTTTTTAAAAAATGTAAATTGACAGGTAGAGTGGCATACTCCTGTAATCCAGCAATTTGGGAGATTGAGACAGAAAGGTTGAAAGTTCAAGGCCAGCCTCAGCAATTTAGCAAGGTCCTCAGCAACTTAGTGAGACTCTGTCTCAAATAAAAAATAAAATGGGCTGGAGATGTGGCTCAGGGGTAAACTTCTCCTGGGTTCATTCAATCCTCAATACCAAAAAAAAAAAAAAAAAAAAAAAAATGGAAAAAGGAAAAAAGAGAAAGAAAACAAAAATTGTAAACAAAATAAACTATCTTGTTTACACATTATTACAAATCAGCTGAAATTCACACTCAGATGATACTGCAAGCTCTGGTGTATAAAAATGCAAATTGGTCAGAAATGAAAAATTTAGTCTTGATTCCCTTGTCTAACATGTTTTGCATACAGAAACATATATTAGAGAATTTTCTGAGAAAATGTTTTCCTTGTTTTTAAAGGGAAAAAGTCACATGAGATTTGAAAATCCCCATCTTGATTGACAATAGATGACTGGCTCAGGTTAACACTAGAGAATACAAGATCCTCAGAGATCTGCTGGGTTTCACTATTCTTCCTTATGCTTCATACCTCTCAGAATTCACTTACTTTCCAAGGCAACTTCACTTTCTCTCACTAAAAGAAACAGAATGCACTTGCCCACTCCCTGACTTTGGCCTTGGCCATGCAACCTACTCTGGCCAAATATATGTAAGCAGAGATGGCAAAGGGCCATTTCTGGGCACAGGCTTAAGCAACTTCAGGCTTTTCTACTCACTCTTGTACCTTGGTTATTTGTCCTAAGAAGAACACACCCTCCCCCGCCCCTTTAATATTCCCCACTTAGCTTGGACCCGAGGATGTCTTATTCAGGAAGCAGAGCTATCCCAGCCAAGCCAAGCTGGACCTGAAACTTGGAGCACAGCCAGCTACCAGGCCTAGATCTAAGATCCCTGTTAACACAAAGCTTCAAGGGAATAAGTGACTGTCCATGTAAATCACTGAGTTAGAGATCTTTTATTTTATAGCATTAAGTGGCAGTATCTAACTGATACAATTGGCTAATTTGATGAAGATCTTTGCACTTGAAAATTGAAATAGTTCCTGTAGATGAAAATCTGTAAAACTATCCACATCCATCCTCAAATGTTGACTTCTAAAATGAAGCCCAGACTCTACTTAAAATGCATGCTGTAGAAACTACCATACACTCAAGTGCATTTTTTTCCAGAAATAATTGTGCTGAAATCACTAAAAGGCTTTTCTCCTTCTCCTCTAAAATTTTGAGGCTAAACTCAAGTAGATTTTTATGTAAAAGGGTGAAATCCAAACATGGCTACAGAGTTAGAGGAAGCGGAGGCAACTCTTGGCATATGGCCCTTAAATATTTGGCAGGTAATGTGATTTTCCTCTTTTCCTTTGGTTTCTCTGCCTTGCCAAACATGCTTTGGATCCATTTATATATGTGCCCTTACCTATACATAGTCCTCCTTTTACATTCAAGCAAGTTACATCAACATATAAATGCTACAATTTCCAGGCCATGATGCAAGCCATAATTAAGCATATTTCCCCATTTGAAACCAGAACCAAAGAAAAATATTAGCTATCTTAGGTTCAATACACATTTTCAAAGTCACACAAATCAAGTCTGTTTAGGTTATTTCCAATGCCTAGCATGGCCTCAAAGTAAACTAATAAAGATACTTAAAATGTGAATCCTGGGTTATAAAACAGAGCCTATGTTTGAGTTCCTGTGTCTTTGGACAAGAATGTTCTGCCCATTGCTGAGCATCTCCATTCTCCCTTTTTCCTTTCAGTAGTTACAGTTTTATGAGATATAAATTATATAAAATAATTCCAATCATGACAGGTTGAATAAATAAATATAGTAGATAAACCCATTATTTTAAGACCCTGTTTAAATTTTCTTCTTTTCAGTTCACATCCCTATAGCCTTCATTGTTAGTCTTTTGACTTCTAACATTTTAGCAAAACAGCTGAGCATCAAATCAGATAAAACCAGATTTGCTTTAGTTAAAAGCAAAGAAGACCAAGTACAAGTCATTGCCCATAAATCTTCCCCTGATTCTGTACCTGACCCTAGCTATCACACTTTAATGCAAATCTGAGGTTCCTACTAAGCACACTTAGGAAAAAAAAAAAACTGGTCCACGAGGTTCAGTTATTGTTTGCAAAATGCAAAAAAAAAAAAAAAAATGGTAGCCATGATTTCCCTCCCTGTCTTCATTTCTTGAAGGATTATAAGGATTATGGTGCAAGGGAATAGGAGCAGGGAGATCTGATCTGGCTTGCTTTCACCAATAGAAGATGAGAAAAGTTGACATTCAGTTCTAAACCTAGATCTTAAAAGACCTAATTCGTTCTAAACCTAGGTCTTTAGGAAATCAACCACCTCCTGAGAACAAGCCCACAAGAGTGTAGGAAGACATGAGGCAACCAGAGCCACCCATACTGAGCTCATCCTACACCAGCCTGCCCTAGTAGACTGGGCAGCTGACCACAGGCACAGATGAGTAAGCCCAGCCAGAAACACAACTCCACTCCCCAGAAGATCTCAGTCCAAATTGCCAACCCACAAAATTGTGTAATGAATAAATGGCTATTGTTTTTTAGCCAGTAAATTTCAGAATGGTTTGTTACACAGCAGAAGCCAACTGATGATGTCAAGTGTTACTCAAGGATGAAATTACATGGGCCTTTCTGTATTTTCCTTTTATTTATTTACTTTTTTGCTTCTAAACTAGACAAGTGCTGTACCACTGTGCTATAATCCCAGCCCCATAGACCCCATTTCAAAAGAAAAACATGAATCTCAAATCTCACAAAATATGCCCAATAACTCAATTTTAAAGACACCAACTTAGCAACCTAAATACTTATTCTACGAAAATGTTTTGCAATTGAGAATTTTCAGTGGAAAAGAATGTCACGTTTGTAAGTTTGAGGTACTTTGGGTCCACTTAGCACCAAAACAAAATGCAGCCAGTATACAGTGGCACACACCTATAATCCCAACAGGTTGAGAGACTGAGGCAGGAGAATCTTGAGTTCAAAGCCAGCCTCAGCAAAAGCCGAGGTGCTAAGCAATTCAGAGAGACCCTGTCTTTAAATAAAATACAAAATAGGGCTGTGGATGTGGCTCAGTGGTTGAGTGCCCCTGAGTTCAATCCCTGGTACCTCCTCCCCCCGCCCCACAAACACACACACACAAAAAAAAAAAAAAAAAAAAACAATGCAAACTGAAAAAAAAAAAATACTCTTAAGATTCAAACATATCAGAGAATCTGTCTTTAGACCTACATTTGAGATTTTAGAAATCAATCAGATTCTATCATACTATGCTCAAATGGCTTCAAGGTCAACCTGGGCCACATTATTACTGTAATGATAAGGTCCTTGAAGTAAACTGGGTTTCTTGTGTGTGTATTTTTTAAGTTTTTACTTTTTTTATTGATTCTTTTTAGTTATGCATTACAGTAGTATCCATTTTAACATAATTATTCAAGCATGGAATATATCTTATTCTAACTCAAACCCTAGTACACCTCCTTCCCCTCCTCTCTCCCCACCTGCTGCTTCCTTCTCTCTATTGATCTTTTTGCCATTTACCCATAGTTATTTTTTAATTAATTTCTTGCAGATATAAACAACGATGAGATTTGCTATGATATATTCATATGTGTTCATAGGAAAGTTATGTCAGACTCATTCCACTCTCCCTCTCTCTCTCTCTCTTTTTTTTAATCCTTTTGGATATAGCAAAGACCTGGAAGCAGTTATCAGAAGCAACGTGTTAAGATGAACTGAAGTTAAATTTCTGGCCGAGGGCTCCTAGTGATAACTATTTCTCCATACTAAGGAACCCTGAGATTATTAGAAATGTAGAAATCATATCCTCAGCCACGCAGTAAGAAGAGGCTTACACATAAAAGTATCCTGTTTCCCCATCTCTCATCCCAAAGGAGAGGCAAGACAAAGACTTAATTAACCCAAGACTCCCAGTTCAGTGTTCCTCCCATGATGTCACGTGACCTCTGTTGTTCTGGCTTATGATGTAACCAATTCCTCTGGACAATGAGCCCTTCTGTTCATCTGTTGAAAAGTTCAACACCCCAGCCTCCTTCAAGGCTCTTTGCCACTCAACCTCAAAATCCACACACTGAGGGGAAAACCCCAATTTGCCATAAATGAAGTCTTCTCTCTCACATTTCTCTCATCATCACGGGCCTTAAATTTCTTCTAAATTAGGAGGCAAAAAAACTCAAGTATCTCCTGTCATACACACAGCATGCAAAGGGAGGGTTATTGTTTTTTTAAAAACAGTCTCAGAGACCACAACTCAAAAAGCCCTTTTAGATAAGTTTCCATATCCCCTCAGCCAGAGGGAAATAAACCACACCATTTAGATATTTTTCCCCTTAAGATCTAGTTAGATTTGATTTCAGTAGATTTATATTTTATTTTTAGAAAACAAACTTAATTTGGGCCGCACACTGAGTCTATGTCTTCATACACAAGTGAGGCATAAATCTGAGAAAAAGTCTTGAGCGCTGACCAACTTCCCCACCCTGCTCACAGGAAGGCTTCACTTTCCACCTCTATTTACTTGCAGGCAATATTTAATATCACCTAAAAAGATGTGTCTCTAGGAGTAAAGCTGAGCTGGAAAAGGTGGAAAACTTACAGTCTTAGTATTCTAAATCTTGGTATAATCCTGCAGTGTATAGACTTGGTTGATTGAAATCAATAGTACTATAGAAAGAACAGTGCCACAAGCACACCCAATATTCCCCACCCAATTTACTCTGCCCTGTGTCACACTCCACTCATCTATCAATTGTAGCTAAATTGACCTGCCTGTTCAATGAAATGATAACCTATGACTACTTGGGTAAATTATTTCTTCTACTCTCTACTCTACTTCCAGTTGTTTAAATATAGTCCACTAGTCATCCCAATCACAGCCATCTATATCAGAACTATGATTAAATTGATCTCATAAAAGAGAGAACAATGTATATGCCAATTCAGTTTAGAAAAAAATAATGTGGTCTAGAAAGACCATCTACATTATTTAATAAATATGTACATTTTTTAATTTTTGTTATATGATACTAGTTTCTTTTGCCTGTGATAAATCAAATTATAATGCATTACAGTTCAAAAGCAACAAAAGAATTACATCTGATGTCTAACTTCAAATGATAAGAAAACCAGGATTCAGAGTAGAAATCCCCTCAGCAGTTCAGTTTCTCCTTTTCTCTTTCCTTGGATATGATAGTTATGAAGGTCACCTAATTGCTATTCATGCCAAAATCCAATTTGTAACACTCACTGCTGTTAAACCAAGTCTCTTCTGCTGTATATCCAATGACTTAGTATTTAAGAAACTCCTCCTTTGTCTATCCAGGCAGGTGTATTTCTCAGGACTCCCTCATTTCCACCAGACACTGCAAACAGAATGAACTACCTCATATTCCCCAAGCATATCCCACTCTTTCTCATTCCACATGAAAGCTTGTAGTTCTAAAGATGGAGGTTCACTCGAGTCCAGGGCAGAGCTGAAAGATACTTGCAACATCATTACCTCATCTATACAAATCTTAGCCAATTCCACAACTCCACACAACATCATAAGGAAATGACTTTTTAATACCTTATCCAGAGCTTCTGATCCCAATTCTGGATCATTGATCCATGAAATCTATCCAAAGCTATATATCTGTCTCATGGTTTAGGTATGAAATGTCTCCTCAAAGCTTATGCATTAGACAATCCAAGAAAATTTGGAGGTGAAATGATTGGGTATTGAGTGTCTTAACCTAGATCAGGACATTAACTCAGTTGAGTGTATTTAACTGGGTGGTAACCTAGGTAGGTGAGATGTGGCTGGAAGAGGTAAGTCATTGGGATGTGCCTTTGGGGTTTATATTTTGTCCCTGGTATGCAAGACATCTCTCTCTGCTTCCTGTTGTCATGTCCTGAACTGCTTTCCCCACCCACATTCTCCGGCCACAATGTTTTTGCCTTACCTTAGGCCCAGAGAAATGGAGTTGGCTGTCTGTGGACTGAGATCTCTGGAACCTTGAGCCCCAAAGTAAACTTTTCTTCTAATTGTTCTTTTTAGGTCTTTTGGTCACTCTGCTAAAAAAGCTGACTAAAACTGTCTCCACAATTTTTGATCCAGTTCTCATTCCCCAATCTTTGATCCCAAAATCTGCACTAAATAGATTGCTGGTATCCTTGGCTTTGGGTCTCCTTGAGGCTAACTCATTACCACAATTTGCAAGCCAGTTTAGTTTTTTGTTTTATTTTGTTTTGTTTTGGAGGGGCAGTACCAGGGATTGAATTCAGGGGCACTCTACCACTGAGCCACATCCCCAGCCCTATTTTGTATGTTTAATAGAGACAGAGTCTCACTGAGTTGTTCAGCACTTTGCTTTTGCTGGGGCTGGCTTTGAACCTGAGATCCTCCTGCCTCAGCTTCCCAACCTGCTGGGATTACAAGCATGTGCCACTGTGCCCAGCCAGTTTAGTTCATTTTTATATCTAGATTCTGAACTCTAATTTGTCTAGCATGGTATGTAAAGTATATAATAACCACAGATTCACATTGAAATCTCCTGGATAGCTTTAAAATGTATTGGTGTTTATGTGCCTCCCGATGATATGAGATTCTGATGAATGGATCTGCAGAGTAGCCTGGATATCATGATTCTCAAAGTTTTCCAGGTGATACAATATGCAACCAAGATAGTTCATAGCTCAACAGAGCAGCCTGTTTGCTGCTGAATTCTGCTCAACTGGGCCATAGGACTTCTATATTCTTTCCTCTTTACTTTCTTTGTGCAGCTTTTCAACTCCCACCCCTAGGGGGCTGCAGACATAGCTTGGTAATACAGTGCTTGCCTACCATACACCAGGCCCTGGGTTCAACCCCAGCACCACAAAACTCATAAATAAACAAATATTTTAAATTCCATTCCCACCTCCTCAGGAAATTCCAATGTATCCCTCTTCCTGACTTCTTGTCATAATTGAGCCTATGATCTCTAACTCCACCAAAGCTTTTTATAATTTCCACAATTTTCTATTAGCTAATCTTTTTTGGATTCTCATTGCTTAATATTTCCTCCCCTTTATGATAACTGCTGAAGTACCTATGATCACAAGGACATCCCTGCTCACAAATGCCTGATTACTTAACAAAGGCTTACTTATGAATTTATGAATAAATGTACTAGATTGATTAAAAATACTCCTATTAGTTGATTTCAATTATTCTGTGCCACTGAAAATCTGTGATGTCGCATATCCACACATAGTTCACCTTGTGTGATGACAAAAATTTGCACATAGAATAAGTAGACATAGAGAGAGTCAAAATTGAGATGGAAGTGGGAGCCAAAGAGAAATCTCAGCACTTGAGGAAACTCACGGTGGCTGGCACTCCATCAAGTTGTCGAGCGCCATGATTGGACACTAAGATCCCATCCAGACCATGCTTAACTGCCTTCCTGGCATCATCGCCTAGGGGGGAAAAAAAAACAGCCTATGAAAACTAGGATTTAACAGGTTTGGGTTTAGAGGCTGCAACAATCCAATTTTTCTATCCATTTATACTGAGAATTTAGTATATCCTCAAGTTCTTCAAAATTTCCCATTATTCTGTCTAATCTATGTCATTCATCTTATTGTCCTTAGAGGCAACTAACTGCCTAGAGCCCTCTACCTTCTTACTCATTTCTGTATTTGTAATTTTGGGGCCCCATTACCTATCTTCATCCTCTATGACTGCTCCTATTCTATTGGGATTGAAAGTCTTATAGTTCAATACATAATTTTCCCTGTCTCCTCTGTGTTCCCAGAGAGCCCACCTTGAGTTATAATTTTCTATTTTTCTTCAATCAAAATTCTCCCTTATTGTTGTTTTTTTTCCATAAATTCCTGAAAGTTTTTGGCTATTTGTGCTCTTCATCTGTTTAGCCGTGCTGTCATTGATTTATATATGTCAGTAAGAATGAAGTCTTGTGTTTGATAAGAGGGTCCCTGTGTATTTAGTCCAATGCATATCAATTAAAGTGTATTTTCAAAATGGTTCTCTAATGTATGGTCTTAATGCACTGCTGTCCAATTGAATTCTGGGTGAAAATGAAAATATTCTTTATCTGTTCACTTCCATTCAGTGACCACCTGCCACATGCAGTAATTGAAATGTGGCACTGTGACTAAGGAACTGGATTTTACATTTATTTTATTTTACTTAATTTAGGCAGTCACGTGTGACTGGTGATTATTATATTGGACAGATGATGTTTATATAAGTTTACCTATCCTAATAAAGATATACAGTAGGGTATTTTTTTAAGTTTAGATATAGTCATAAATAACATTAACACGCAATGTAAAATTATGTTCTAAAATGATGTGGTTTGGTCTGGTTATGTACTTGTATGCATGATACCAAATAGAAAAGTCAAATATAAAAAAAATAACATTGAAATATGTGAATTATGATATTATGTGAACCCCATAATTGAGCACGTATGTATTCCTCCTACTTGTATTTGATTTCTGCCACCATAGAATATTATTAATAAATAGATCCTATACAGAATGAAGAAGGGATTGACTTCTTAGGCTAAGTCATAGGACTATCTGAAATTTTTTATTGGCATATATTAATTAAGTAGAATGCTGGGTTTCAATGTGATATATTTTCCCATATATAAAAACATAATTTGATTGATTTTACTCCCAGTACCTTTCCCACAATCCCATCTTCCCTCCCCAAGATCCCTTTCCTATACTCTAATGGTTGTTCTTCTACTTTCATTGAATCCCGTTTTTCCTCCTAGTTGTTTTTTTTTCCTCCTCTTGCTTCCACGTAAGAGAAAACATACAATAATTTCCTAAGTCTGACTTATTTTGCTCAAAAATATGGTCTCTATTTTCCTGAAAATGCATAATTTCATTCTTGTTTATGGCTGAATAAAAGCCCATTTTGTTTGAATGCTATATTTTCGTTACCCATTTATCTCTTAACATACACCCAGACTTATTCCATAACTTGGTTATTGTGCATTGTGCTGCAATAAACATGGATATGCCTGTATCTCTTGAATAAATATGAAGGAGTAGTATAGCTGGACCACACGGCAGTTCTGTCTTTAGCTTTTTAAGGAACTTCCATATTGATTTTCAGAGAGACTGCTCTGATTTACATTCATACCAAAAGAGTTCCTTTTTCCCCCACATCTTCATCAACATTTATTGCTATTTACATTCTTGATGTTTGTCATTCTAACTTGAGTGAGATATAATTTCAGTGCAGTTTTGATATGCAGTTCCCTCACGGCTAAAGATATTGAGGTTTTTTTCATATAATTGTTGATCCTTCATATTTTTTAATGTCTGCTTGATTCAGTTGCCCATTTGTTCATTGGGTATTTGCTTTTTTTCAATGTTGTGTGTGGGGAGGGGTATTTGTTTGTTTTCATTTTTGTTTTTTGCTTCTTCATGCATTCCAGACATTATTAGAAGAGTAACTGGTGAAGATTTCCTCCCATTATGGAGTCACTCACTGTTAATTCTTTCCTCTACTTTGCAGAGCTTCTTAATTTGATGCCATCCCTTTTATTGATTCTTTCTCTTATCTCCTAAGCTATAAGAGTCCTAGTCAGTGGTTTTTGCTGAAGTATATGTATATGTTGAAGTGTTTCCCCTATTTCTTCTTCTAACAGTTGCAAAATTTCTGGTCTTATACTTCTGTCTTTGATCCATTTTGAGGTATCTGTACAGGGTTAGATATAGAAATCTAGTTTGATGTTTTCTATATATGAATGTCCAATTTTCCCAGAACTGCTTGTAAAACGGGCTGTTTTGTCTCCAGTGTATGGTTTTGGTACCCTTTGTCAAAAATCAAATGACTGTTGTGTAGGTTATTCTCTCCTCAGACTGGTTTGCGGAATAAATAAATTGAGTGTTTGGAAAGTGTCTGACACATGTTGAGTACTCAGATGATTATGAAATATTACTAATACAGTCATCTGGTAGTGCAGGGAATATAAACTAAGAAGATGAGTTAGGTAGAGGAAGATTCATTTGCTGGATGCTTTGGGAAATTTATTTGTGTTCTGTTTATAGCAATAAAGTTTCATGCTAGTCTGGAGGATGATTATAAAGTACCCTGCATTTGGAGTAAGTGTTATTTAAGAAATAGATTGGTGTTTTCCATTATTTCAAATGGGTTTCCATGTTCTCCAGGCAGTGTAGGACTATAAGGCCAAACAACAACAGAAAGATTTTCTCAGGGGATAGAAACAGGAGCTTATAGAGAAGCGAAGACAGTAAGAATAATTCATGAATGGATATAAGCTCTTTTAATTAGCTGCTTATAAATCTGTCTTGCAATTAATTTTTTTTTATTTATAACCTGGACAGGAAAGCAATTTTGCCTTCATGAGAAGGTCAAAATATTCTGACTTAGCAAAATGTTCATGAATCTTTGATATTTTCATTAACCATAATAGTTTACTGGTTTGTCATTCCTTATGTGTTAATTTGCCATTAAATTACACTGATCATTTAAGAAGCGAAATAACTGATAAGTATTCATACTGTTTTCTATCTTATTAATATACTATTTTCATATTTAATCTAAAATATCAAAGTGAAATATAGGTCATCAAGATTTACACTAAAGTCTTCTGAACTCTAGATAACTGGGCAACAATTTTTAATACAATTGAGACAGCCTGAGTAAAATATTATTTAAAGTGTCTTAAATGAGCAAACCAACCATGAAAAGAATTAATTAAACAACACTTCCGTAGATGCAAAAATAAGCCACAGTGGAAGTGAGATAACCTCATTAAAAAAAAAAAAAAACTAAAAAGGATTATGCCTTTGCTCATGAGTCATTTGTTTATTAGTGTGAATTCTGGCAAAGACCAAATCCTGTCTGAAGTACACGTTTGGAGCTTGTGTTGATGTTCTCCAAGGACCAAGTTTAACCACAGCAAGGGATTACATCTTGCGTTCCAATGTGCATCCACTAAAATGCAATTCTTAAAATGGTGGTAAGGATGGGATGTTTCACCTAGATCTTTCCAAATGCTCTTGAGTTTATGTTCCAGTGAACATAATCTGCATACTTCTGGTAAAAGGAAAATGAAAGGAAAGGGATGACTCTCAGTCAATCCATGTGATTCTGGAAGAAGACTTGTGACGTGAGTACTGGATTTCCCAGAACTCATCCACCTTCCCCTCCTCATCTCCAGATTGTGTATGAGCATTATTTGATGTAGTTGCTGTTATAGAGATGATTGTTGTTTGCTAAATAAATGAAACAAATAGTTACAGAAAAAACTGGACAAATATAAACTTACATTTATAAATAACTAACTTCTTTTCAAATGCCAAATGCTCTATTTCTTTATCTTGCTTTTTGAGTTCTAATTATATAGGCTTAGAGTTTTTACCAAGTATTTTATCCAATAAACATTTGGGCTACCTGATATGTGCAAAATATTGTGAAAACATGTAAAAATGAGCCAGATAATCCATATACACAAGAAAAAAGAGAGATGATGATGATGGTGGTGGTGGTGGTAGTAGTCTTGGGCAAAATGATTACAGACTAAAATTCTAGATTCAAAAGTATTTTTCAATGTAACCCATGATAGTAAGTGTAATGTAATGGATTTGCATAATAACCTATTGGGCAAAAAGTAGAAAATGATATAAATTGGGAATCCAGAATTGAAAACTGGGTTCAATAAAATGACCTCATTTTTTATAATTATTTCTTATTTAACTGAGACCATTTGGAAACTAGACTAAAAGTTTGTTCTTCTTTAGTGATTTCAAGCCAGATCTCCCAGGTCATGTCTGAGATTAACCATATTAATCTTCTAATTCAATTTTATCTTCTCATTCCCTTCCCTGACAATCATTTCTTACCTGGACAATCACACTTCCTGAATGTTCTTCCTGGCCACCTCCATCCATTAGGTCAATTTTACAAAACATGATTTTTCTAAGGTGCTGATCTGATGAGGTGGCTTCCCTGATTCACATGCTTCAGTGATTCTCAACCACCTTAAAGTCTACATTCCCTAAAATGCCTTACATTTTATATAAGTTGTTACCCATAAGTGCTTTATTTCACTACTATTTCAGTCTGTAATACAATCTGTTGACCCATTATCAGAGTGAAATTCAAGTATCTTCATTCTGAAATGAAACCTTTTCTAATCTGCTCTTCTAATGGTCCAACCATTTTAAAGCCACTGCCTTACACTGCCTAGTATATCTTTAGTGTTTTATACTTCAACATTTTAAACAACCCCAAATGCTTTTTTATATGTTTGTCTGTATAACAACAGGCTCTTCTTTAGGCCAAGCATCTTAAATTATAATCATAAAAACTTTTAGCACAAAATAAGTACAATAAATGTGCATGGAATGAATGAATAAGAAGAAGCAAGAATCAATGAATAAATGACACAGAATATCCCTGTGAATGTTCTTTAGAACCTAAGGTTGTGTGGCTACAGAAAGTAAGGGGACAAGGTGGTTGCAAATATAAGAAGTGAAACTGTTGTTTAAAGGTATATGTAAATCATAATTTAATCACTATGGTATAAAACCCATAGAAATTTTGAATTCAGATAATGATCAATAGTAAATAGTGTGACAATACATTTTTCAAAAGCAAAGATTAAGCTAGACCCCTGTTTAAACATATCTCCAAAAGCTGCACTGAGCCCATTCTTTCATTTAAATTTTTCTTAGTGCACAGATGACACAAAGTAGGCAGCATGCTTAGAGCTTTATAATTAGAGACCACATGACACACATTCAAGTAAACTCCATGAACAAAGTTTGATTTGTTAGACTCTGAGATAAGTTAATACACTCTCTCATCCCAAAGCCACTTACTCAAACATTTCACTTTTTTTTTTTCAAGTGTTTTTTTTGTTTTTGTTTTGTTTTAGCTATCTATATAACCATGCTGGAGGTGGAGGGACACAAAATGTTTTCAAAGAAAACATTTTTTTTTTTTGAGAGAACACTCCAAAACATTGGCACTCCAAAGTCATTATAGTGATTATAAATCCTTGTGGGACTTGTATACATGTGGATTCTGGAGTAAGAATCAACTTCCTTACTATCCATGGGTTGATAATTGAGAATTATCCACCATTCTTCACAGAGAGATAATGGGAATTTCTCCACAGTCAAATATTAGCCCTGGCCATTGGTACTTGGAGGTAGCATAGGAAAAAGAGAAAAGACTCTTAAAACAACAGGTCTGGCTGTCCTAGTTCCTTCATTTGGGGCGTCTTTGGTCTAAGAGCAACTATTGTATCTTTCAGGTAAAACCATGTACTCGTGATGTTCTACCAAGATTTTGCCAAGTTCCATGAGTCAGTAATGGCTCCAGAACAAGTCAATGACATCACAAACACTTTGAAAAAGGTAACTTCTTACTTATCATCTTTTTCTCTGAATATTACCTAAGAATGAGTAGATATTTACTCACTAACATCAGAAGAGAGAATTGAGAATTGGAATGTGTCTTTTGATTTCCATAATAAGTTCTTCCTGATTGTTTTCCCTTAGGGAAAAAAAAAGGCACGGCCGTATCCACTAAAGTTAGTACGGATTCCAACTGAGAAATAAACAAACCTCTTAAGATGCCCTTTGCAACAATAGGCAGTGATGTCAGTCCCCTCAGCCACTCAATATCTTTCCAACTGATGGATGGGTCTATAGCTTTCGCCACGTATGCAGCAAGTCCACTGTCATCTCCAAAATTTTCCGTAGGAGAAAATGCTAAATCATTGGTTTCAAAATTCTTCAACCTGAAATAGTTACATAAATGTTAGAGTCTGTAAACAAGTCAAAATAACACCTGGCATTTTGCCAGGGGAATGTTAGAATTCGTAAACAAGTCTGGATGGTGCCTGGCAAAATGCCAGAGGGAGTGGTTTGAGAAGTAACAAAAGCGAGCCATTAAGTGTGAAGATTCCTGCTTGGTTGACTGCTGTATCTAGTTTATGTTAATTAGATAAGCTGTGTGGAATGTATAAATACTGCTCCTGTCTTACAATAAACGGCTCCTACTCCTGCTGTATCAATGTACACAAGTTGTTTCACCCCCCCCCCCCCCCCGTTATTTTGCTGCAGCCAGACTGTGGCACATAAAATTAAAAAAAATTCCCAAAGTCACAAATATATTTATGATGATTGATTCAAAGAAAAAAATAAAAGTGACTCTTTTCAAATCAATTAGCTATTCATTCCTCAATCACTCACTGAAGGTTACTTGCAGTTATATTTTCCATGTTTTGCTGTAGGACTCTAGGCTAAATGTGACAATTCAGTGGTCTTCATTGATTAACTAAAGAGTATGTGTGTGTGTGTGTGTGTGTGTGTGTGTGTGTGTATTGTTAAACATTTGTATATTTATAAGCAATTTCAAAGAAAAATATGTGACCATGTTCAAACATTTCCTGTTTAGGCCAGTTTATGGATCTAAACAATAGACTTGATGTTATTTTCAGCCAGCAATGCAAATTAATCATAATGAAAAACATTTGCATGATGCTTTATAACTTACAAAGGGTTTTTATATATCTATATTTTCACATTTCTTTAAAAAACTTTTAGAAAGTAAAATTGACTCCTTGTCTCCCATTTTACACACACACACACAAATGAAAACAGAAATGTAGAATGAGTTGCCCCAAGAATAAAGATAGCTAATGACAGCATTTGGGCTCCAACCCAGGTCTCTCCACTGAACTCTTGATTAGGTTCTCTTTGCTTTTATAAGTTGCATCCTGGCTATTACAACTGGCCTCAGGCAACCTGACAATGCCCTAGGGTCCAGACTAAAGAAGGCTGGAACTGCAGTAACATGTGTTAATACTTCCTGTCTGTTCCCCTGTGGACAATTTTACCTGCCATATTGTTAGGGTAGTAGTGGTGGTGGGTACTGGGTACAAGAGGTCTTTTCTGGTATATAAGTTGTCAGAACTGGCTTTCCATCCATCCTTCATTATTTGTTCCTTCTGAAGCTCTGTACCTGCTGATTCAAACTTCCCTGATCTTCCAGACAACTTGGACAAAATCATGAGCTGTCTAATTATCAACACCTTAACCTGTGGCTTTTTCTTGCTCTGAGGAGCTTAAGTTACTAGCCATACAGAAGACTAGAAGTGTAAATAACCCAGCTCCTACACCACTCCAGAGACTAACTCTGAGATGCAATCTACATACACTCCCAGAGTTTTCCAGCAAGATTAAGCCTCAGTTGCCCTCTGTAACTGCCTTGATAAAGAGTTCTCTGTATGCTGCCTACCCCTCCTTGCCCCACTTCCCTGGCTCTCTAACAATATTTCTTCATATTCCAAACGAACTACCTGCATTCAAACCACTGGCTCACAGTCTGCTGCTCAAGGAACCCAATCAGGTACACCACTGAGTTGCTAACTTCCCGTGTCTAATTGCGTTGACCTAGTGTAGTCCCCAGTTTCTAATTCACCTCTAAGCCTCTGCTGCTGGCTCATCCTAAACCTGAAGTCATTTCATTGGACCTAATATCCTCATATTCTAATTAGACTTTGACAGTTCCCCAAACTAAAGGAAAAGTCCTTTCTGCCTACCGGTCTGACCACTAGGTGAATACATGGCCACCTGGACACAATAGCACCATCCATGTGACTTATCTACCCACAGCCCCAAATCCAGTAGCAATCTTCAGTCCCTGAAAGGCTGCTTATAAATAATGACAATGACTGGGTTCACCTTGATCTTCTGCATATTGTAACTAACCCTGTTAGTCTCCTTTTCAGGTATAAGTAGAACTATATATTGAACTCTGGCTTAGTTCTAGCTCTCTGCTCCCCTCTGGCACTGAACATAGAAAAGACCTTGGAGCCATGGCTGTAAAAGCCTTTATATAAAACTAGAACTATCTGGGAACATTGTTTTTAAATTATTTTTTAAACAATCCTTTAATACAAAACTCTTTTGATACTTTTTACATTTCAGTATATTTCAGCTCAAATAACAGGTTGTGTAGCTCAAGTGGCATATATTATCATAAGGACATGAACATTCAATTCCATAATCCTTGATTCAAGCCATTAGAAACATTTTCTCAATAAGAATTGAATAGTGCTATAGTTTTATGGACTCAGGTGACCACTAAAAGTAATAGAAAATTCTAGCTCCTTGAGGGTCATAAGAACACTTATCTAGCTGTTGGGCTCTGATAGGGACTTTAACTGGGCTTCTTAAAAAATCAAACCACATAGGATTGTACATTTTATCACAGCCTTTGGTCTTCTGTGGTCACACTAACTTGAATTGAATTTACCTTTCTGGTCAATGACCATACACTCATGGTAAGACCTATTCCACTACTTATAAATTATATTAAAGTTCAAACTTTCAAGTAATGTTGTTAATAAGAAAAAGTGCAGTCTCTCTATCCCAGAGCAATAACAGGAGAAAAAAAATTGCTATGTGCATGGAGTCTAAATGGCACACCACCCCCATCCCAAACAAGCCACAGTGCTTCAGCAGGGGTGGGGTGAAAGGGTGAAATGGATAGGAAAAAACAGAAACATGGATAAAATTATATAAATAACTGTTGTTATTCTTGGATGGTGAATGCAGATCAACACTTGAATGAATGTTGCCTTACAGAAATCTCAGTGCACAATGAAGCCTTGTTGTTGCTCTCAAAATTGTTCAAAGCCAGAAGCCAAGAAAAAGTTTTCAGATATCTTGACAGAGACCCACGATGGAGTGTTTTACCAATGGCTCCAAGAGAAACCGCTATGAATGCTATTTTTATTCAGATTATGACATATATACACACACACACACACACACACACACACACACACCACACATATCACACATATATATCACTTATGGCGCTTCTGATAACCAAAGTATTCCATTTCGTAAAAAAGGAAAAGAGAAATATTGAAATAATAACACAATTGCTTAGGGCTTAGTTTTTAAATACCAGTCTGTTTAATGGCACAAAGGCAAGTACCTTTTTTGTAAAATATTTGTTATGCCTAGAAGCTCTTAATATAATTTAACCTATTATAGAAATGGCTTTAGCTTTTAGTAAGTTAGTATCATGGTAATAGTGACAATTACTAAAGAAGGTTAAATATTATTAGATAACTACTAGCAATGCTATTATTATTGGATAATGTATAATATCTATTATATATATTGTTAGTGTAACACTAAAGGTAAAGCCACATCTGTATATTGGAAAACCAAAAATTAAAATAAAATAAAGCTTGCAATATCAACACAGTAAAAATTAAAAGAGAGATTGAGGGAGACATTCAAAATCCACACAGGATTGGTTCACAGACCACCAGCCTTGAATTCTTTGATTACAAAAGTACTTATGTTCAGATGATAGCCCTGGTCATTTGTTTCTCAGTATGCCTGGTAGTTAAAAGACGGGCTAGAGCTATAAATTTCAAGTTCAAATCCATGAGCAACTTCTTCATAGTAATGTTATATGGAGAAAATCTTATGTTCTACTACATTTTTATTTATTGACTCAACAATTATTATCGAGCAATTACTTATTTAATGTCACCAGTAAATAAGACAGTGCAAACTCCCTATCCATTGTAAAGACTATATGTAAATTATAGAGCATATTGGAATGTAAGTACTAGCAAATAAGAAAAGAAATAAAAATATAAATGGGTCAGAATAAAGGGATACGAACCGGCAGAATTTCCCATTGAAGTTTTAGTTAATGGTGACCAGGGCTGACCTTGATGAGAAGCTACTTTGAGAAGGAAATAGGTAGTGCTACATAATGTTTATTATAGCTGTAACAAACAACCACTTCTGCGGAAGCATAAGATGCCACACAGATTTATTATATTGAGGTTCTGAAGGTCAGAAATGCAAAATGGGTCTCACTGGATGGAACTCAAGGTGTCCTTTAGCATCATTCCTTCTGGAGCTAAGGAGAATCCATTCTCTTGCCTTTCTCAGCTGTAGGAACCTCCTGCTTCCCCTGCCTGCTGGCCACATTAATCCAGCCTTTGCTCCTGTTATCTCTCTCTCTGGCTCTGACACTCATGCCTCATGTTTCCTTAAACATTAAGTCTTTTAGGCTAAGATAGGATCACCTCCCTATCTCAAGGTCCTTAATCAGATTTGCATGTGAAGTAAGAGGTTCCAGCCATTAGGTATGGACAGCTTTGGCGTACCTCACCAATTAGCGAGGATGTTTTCCTCCATGATGTACCTCAGTCTTAATCAAGTGACCTCTCTTCTCTTGAAACTGCACTGAAAGAGCCAAATCCTAACCCAGTGTAAATTAACCATTTCCATGAGGGTTCAAAGAAATGAAAAGACAGACCATTGTCTCAAAGCCTCAAGAATCAGCATGATGAACCAGCTTCATTCCTTGCTTCATCCAGAGCAGAGGTGAATTTTCCTTACTCTTCTCAGTTTCAGGCACCTCCATGCCATTTATAATGTGCAGACTTACATATGTTTTGCATATAGACCAAGCAGAGATTTCCTACCCCCTGAACTCTGGCTGCTCCCAGATGCCAACAGTCAGGAGCCTCCCCCATCCAGGCAGAGGAAGTAGCAAGGGATGGAAGGAGCCACTGCTTTACAGACTCATTCTCCTCTGGATTTCCTGCCTCCTTCGCCTGCCAAACCTCACTTCTGAAAAGCCAGGCTTCACCTTCTGTTTGTCAGGTCAGTTGTGAAACCGATTTCATATCAAGCTATAACAGATGAGCTTTTGGGGTATAATAGGCTTAAAGCGGAAGCCAGGACCTCCCATTAATATACTGTGACTTCAAAAGCTGAAATGAGAGCCACTGGGGAGCTGACTGGATGGCAAGAACCTGCCCTGAAGCCCATCCTGACAAGCAAAGTCAGTGTGCACTCTGGGGAAGGGGATACACTCAGCTGCAAGATGGTTCCCATGTTCCCCATAACCTGGATGTGTGGCTTATTATTTGCTCATCTTCAGACCAGTGATGTGACAAGCTGGGGATCCACAGCCACTCCTGTGCACACAGACAGCTGAAAAGAATCTTTGTTTCATGGTCCTTCACGTCATCTGGGCAGAAGCCCAGGAGCAATGGAAAAGGGAGAAAGTAAATCCCCCTCCCCGCTCCTCACTGAGTGGCCCCAGTGTGGAAGGAGTAAGAGGAACCAGCCAGAATTAGTAACCATGTCATCTCACCCACCTAATTAGATACCTCTGCAAAATGCACTTTGCTATAAAAAAAAAAAAAAAAAAGTATTTAAGTTGCAAAGAACAAACAGAACAATAAAAACAAACCCTGCTCTATTATTATTATTATTATTGTTAGCAGGAGTCCTATTGCAGGCAGGAAGAAAAGTAATAGCAAATTCCTTTTCAAATGACCAAAGGGAAATAATGAGGAATGTTTCTCAAAAGAAGCCAAGATAGTGGGAAACTAATTATTTTAGAAAGTCTCAAAGAAATTAGGTAGTCAAAATAGAGAAATAATGTAATTACAGGTTGCATGTTAGGGAAGTTTGAGGTCATCTGCTTTCTGACGAGTTTGGCAAGGTGTAGGATTATGTCAGAGGTTTTGTTTTTGTTCTCTTTAAAGACAGGTTGTTTGGGTAATATGTGAAGCAGCTTTATTGGCAAGCCTAAAAAAGGATAGTGCATTCTCTCTGTCGATTGGTCCACTACAGGTACCATACACAGAAATAATATCTTAACCTGCCTGGAAGAATCTGAGCAATAACATCATACTGTTAATTTACACCTGGCTCAACCACAAGATTTTATGGACAATAGTTTATACTTGCATATGTACATACCAAACACAGGTAAATGACAATTATGTGTCACATGTACAAGACTACATAGAGTCTTACAACTTAAATGGTAGTAGAGATACATCCTAATCTGATTATATTATGTATCAAATTATTGGTTTCCAACAATCCTTTTGTCCTTACATAGAATTCTGATTTGATTTTTGAATCTGTTTAGTGTGGAACTCTTAGAAGGGTAGACAGAGTGTGCATGTCTGACTTCTTTTGTCTCCAGTCTTTTATCCTTTTTCAACCTCCCAAACCCAGTTGCTCTAAACACAATGAAAATACACACAGTGAGGAATGGCTGCTATGGAATGAGCTTAAGTCTCCCAAATCCATCCCTCATCATTTCACACTCTGCTGGCTGCTGTGGAATTCCACCACCAAAAAGTCCTCCTGTAACACTAAGTTAGATCTCTGTTTGGATACTTACAGCCCTAATGATGATCACACATCAGTCACACATTGGTATTAAAAAAAAAAATCCAAGGGATGATTTTGCTGGGAACTATAGGAAGGAAAAAGCAATAGGGAATAGAGGTCTAGACTTAGGATAAGTTGGACTCTCAATAAGTTCCACTGAGTTCCCAGCTCCAACTCACTTCTAACCCTAAAATACTGCAAGAAATGGGAAAATACTCAAAGTTAATATAAAGGCTGAATGAACTAATAAAAATCATCCCAGTTCAATTTAAATTATTGGATACATAGTTTTTGCTAAGATGACTGATTGAGTGAATGAATGAATCTTGATCCATGGATGAGCCACATGAAAGCAGAAGATTGCTGAAAGGGGTAGAAGATGAAGGATCAAAGATGTGGTTTCTTTCACTTCAATTCTTTTCAAGTTTTTTTTTCTAGCCCTAGCTGCTCCTAATCCAATTAAAAATAATATCTAAAAATGGCTATTTGATTTCAACACACAAGAAATAGGGGACCAAGATCATGGTAACAAATTTTTGCCTATGTTAAATTCATTATCTTTCATCTGTATGGTATTTAGTACATATCAAAGCTCCAATGCGCTCTGGCACATAAACATATTTTAATTTTATAAGTATTTGGCAACTCATGGCCCCGTTATATAGCTCTAATATGTGACACCCACAAAGAAGATGTTATTTGCTAGAGAGTATGTGGACATTTAGCAATGACAGTTACTAGAACCCAGTGTCTATCATTCCTAGACAAGATAGATCCCTTTTTCCATGTGTTATTCTTTAAATATGAGGTGTAGTCCCAAACCTCCTGTTAATGTAGGAATATCCGAGGTGAAATGATTGTATTGTAAGCACTGTACCCTATAAGTCCATCCTAGTTTGAATGGGCTAATGGATGGTAACTGTAGGCAGGCCGGTTTAGTTGGAGAAAATGTTCACTAATGGGGCCTCCCTACACCCCCACCCCCCCACCCTCACTTCCTGGCCTTGAAGAGTTGAGCAGCTTTCCTCCCATGATGCACTGCCTCACCTTGGGGCCCAGAGCAATGGAGTCTGCCATCTATGGACTGAGACCTCTGAAACTGTGGGCCCCAAATAAACTTTCCCTTCGCTGAGTTGTTCTTGTCAGGTGTTTTGGTCACAGTGGTGAAAAACCGACTAACACACCACACTTCAAACTTTTTGGAGATCTAATTCCCCAGAGCATCTTCTGAAAACTGGGAAAAGCCTCTGTTGTCAGCTCATGGCAAGCAAAGAGGACTAGCAAATCAGCCCAGGGACCACACCATCATCCTTACCTGAGTTGAGGAGGCAGCTTGAACCTGTTCCGCACATCATCAAAGCGGTTTCCCAGGTAAGGGGTGTCCACGGTCACGAATATGGCCTTGTAGCCCATCTGCTCTGCTCGCTTCACCAGCTGCCTGGTGACCTCACGGTCCTTGTAGATGTACAGCTGCAGCCAACGAAGGGCCTCAGGACCAGCCTTGGCCACTTCTTCAATTGAGGAGGTAGCCCAGGAACTCAGCATCATGCCAGTTCCCAGGGTCTGACAGGCTGAGAAAGAAAGGAGACTATAAAAGCAGGTCAGCTATATCTCCCTCTCCCAAGCCTTTAAGTTGTAGATCAGTGGGCAAAGACCTCCGCAAGAGCAACTTGGCAATAGGAAGCCACATCTTTAAAATATTGGAAATGTATCCTTTTCACGTTGTGTATGTGGCTCCTATGTAACATCAAAGATGTGCCATATACATATGGGAATATTGAGAACAACCTGAATGTCTAGTCTTGGAGAATTGGTTTACCAGTAATTCCCACATAAAATTAAATATGCACCACAACCATTAAAGTAATGTTATTGTGCTGGTTAATTTTATGTATTAACTTGGATAGGCTGTGTTACCCAGATATTTGATCAAACACATCTGTGTATTGCTGTAAGGGTATTTATAGATTAGATTTGCAGATTATCCACTGTAATGTGGATGGGCCTTGTCTAATCAGTTGAAAGTCTTAACAAAAGACTATTTCCTAATGAAAAAGGAAATCTGCCAGCAGATTTAGATTTTAACTTTAGACTTGAGCAGCAATCTTGACTTTTCCCTAGTTCTCCACTGTGCTGTCTAACCTGCAGATATGAGATTTATCAGTCTCCATGATCATGTGAGCCAACTCCTTAAGGTAAATCTCTATCTCCTGTGAATAGATAAAGAAACATAGGTAGAGATAGATATTGATATAGATACATATTTATGTGTGTGTGTGTGTGTGTGTGTGTGTAGAGAGAGAGAGAGAGAGAGAGAGAGAGAGAGAGAGAGAGAGAGTCTATTGGTTCTGTTTCTCTGGATAACCCTATTACAATTATTTTTATAAAATGTTCACAGTCAAAGTTGTTTGAGATATAGATATTTTAAGGAAAAAACATTCTACAAAACATGTATAATTCCATATTTGTTCAAATTATAATTATTGGTATAGGAAACTAAATAAAATACATGTTAACTGTGGGAAAGATAATTGTCAGTGAGTTTAATTTTTCTACCTTTATTTTTCTTATTTTTTTCTTCCTTAGTTTTTAAAATTTCATTTTTAACGATGTATTCTACCACTTATTTTGTTTTACAGTTTTAAAAAGGTGTATATGTTCGAAATCTCAAATAGACTCAGCATTTCTTGAGCAAGATAGCAAGAAACAAGAAACAAAATGAAAAATTAGTAAACAAACATTTGTCTTAGAACACTTTAACAAATATGGATCTTGGGTTTTCCTCCAAAAGTAGTAAAATTGGAGTCAACTTAGTGGAGGAAAAATTGATAGAATGTTTGAATACTATATAGAGAAGGACAGAAGATACATTATAAATATCTAAAACTGACTATATGACTCCAGGTGTTTGGCTGCTCTTAGTGCCTTGTCCTACCAATTGGGAGTAAATGTAGTTACAAAGTGACACTCATAAGATAGTGATGATAAGTTAGTGAGATGGTACTTATAAAGTTGCACTTGCAGGTTAAAATGTTTCTGTACTATAGAGCATGGTGGTGCACACCTGTATGTAATCCCAGCTACTCAGAAGGGTAAAGCAGGAGGATTGCAAGTTTGAGGCCAACCTAGACAATTTAGGAAGACCCTATCTCAAAATAAAAAATCAAAAGTGCTGTGGATGCAGCTCAGTGGTAACGTGTTTTTCTATCATGACTAAGGCTCTGGGTTTGATCCCAACCACTGCCAAAATACCAAAAAAAGAAAAAAAAAACAATAAATAAATAAAGCTTCTGTTCTTCTCAAACTTTAGCTAACAGCAATAACCAAGTCCCTGGAAGGCTTATGAAAACAGGTTTCTTTGTCCCACCTTCAGTGTCTGACTACACAGGTCCAAGATGGGGCCCCAAGTTTTCCTTTCTAACAAGGAAAACTTATTACAATACTGATGCTGCCAGTGCTGAATCATACTCTGACATTTAAGTAGTAGCATCACCCCTTGATAGTAAAAGTCCAAGTTCAAACAGTAATAAAATGGATTTGGTTTTTGAAAAATGCTACTTTTCCCATGACTTTGAAGGTGATTTCATCCTTGTTCTCAGGTCATTTGGGCACATTCAGAAGATGTAAGCTGGAGATCATTATGTTTATGGGTCATTAATATGTTGCCCCAAGAGTTCCTCCGAGAATTTCTATCATAGGGTCTTATGACTTGCAAATTGTTGTCCAAGAAAAACCCCATATTTTTCTAAGCAATAACACATATGAACATCTGGACCATTGTCTGATTTTCATTAAGATTTGGAAATATGGAAATAATGCCAGGGGACATTGATTGCTTGGGTCAGAATCTTCTTAACCATCAACTTACCACAAAGAAAGGATGTCCTGGAGAAGATGTGACCTAACTAAGGTCACACAGTGTTTGTTGGACAGCAAAGTAGCATAAAAAACCGAGTACGTCTGATCATTCCTCCAGGGCAAGGATCTTTCTAGAACTCTCAGATGTCCAAAAGACTCTCTGGTACCAAGCATGGATAAATTTATTTCTTCTGTATTTCATAGTCATGATCTCCAAGAGAGTAGGTTTGCCATGTGCCTGAGAGATGCTAGCATACTCACATCTCTGAGGAGGCACAGAATCTTGGAAATCAATGAGAAAATCTGCCATATGTCAGAGGTGCAGTGAGGTGGCACAAAGGAGATACAGCAAAGAGGACCACTCAGATAAAGGGCATCTTTTTGTAAATAACACTAAAGCATCATGTAGGCTTAGCAGTGGCTCTGCCAACAGTAACATCAAAGTCTGCAAAAATATTTGCTTGATTTCATAAGAAATAGTTGCAGACATTAAACCTTGATTGTCAAAATGCCATACACACAGACATGCGCACACACACACACACACACACACACACACACACAAATGCACAGCTAATTCCTAAGGCATTCAAACCATCTAATTTGTGCAAGATGTCAGTCTTCACAAGCATGTTACCCAAGTGGCTTGAATGTGGATGTTCTTGAAAAAGAAGGACAGTCTCTCCATGCCATCTATTTCCAGAGCCTACCTGTTCTGATACAAGCGGCTTCTGGAGCTATTGCTGATCCTTATTTGTTGTTCATGATTCAAACTTAAGAGGCTGAAATTTGGAATCTGGATCCCTCAAATTCCAAGTTACTATTGTTTCCAGTTTTAGGCACTCTATAAATATTGGTGATTTAATACATTTATTCAAAAAGAGTCTCCAGGATGCAGGGGGACTATCAGAGGCTGTGCTGACGCATTATCTGTTGAGGCTGTTATTACTCCCAGGAGAAAACAGAAGGAAAAATTTTATAAGGTCCCATGCCTCTTACACCAAATACTGCCGATCATGGTGTTTCCCATTTACCTGTGATTATTTTCTTGATAAAGGTAAATTATTGATGAATTGCATCCATTGTATTTAACAAAATATAATATTAAAATGAGCTACAAGAGCCTGAGATTTTCCAAGAACCATTCAAAATAACAATTAAAAATTTGTTTATTCAAGCCAGTCCCAAAAAACCAAAGGCCAACTATTCTCTGTGATATGTGAACACTAATCCACATAAGAGGGTGGGAGGGGAAGAATAGAAGTCCATTGGATTAGACAAAGAGAAATGAAGGTAAGGGAGGAATGAGGCGAGTAGGAAGGACAGTAGAATCATTTGGACGTAACTTTCCTACGTTCGCATATGAGTATACCACCAGTGAAATTCCACATTATGTACAACCACAAGAATGGTATCCTAATTAGAATAATCATACTCCATGTATGCATAATATGTCAAAATAGACTCTATACTCCCATGCATATCTAAAAAGAGCAAATAAAAATGAATAAAATGTATGCTAAACTACAATACATAAAAATTTAGAGAAAAATTTTTTAAAAATTTGCTCTTTCAACTAAGGACAGATCTAAGATTAAGTTGATACATACCAGTATGGCAAAGAGCCTTGCTAAAATATCAAATTAATTCCATCCCAATTGGTAAGTAACCATGACTTTGAAGTGAATATCACCAATCTTGGTTTCCTTCAATGTGCTTCAACATGTCATCCATTCCTTCCCTCCCCAAGGAAACATCAGACCATTCTACCATCCAACAGCTTAAACATCAATGCCTGAAAGGCCTGGAACATACAAACCTACTGGAAGACTGGAGACTATCATCCAAACACCACTCCTAACTGGTCAGTTGCTAAACTTGTTGTTAAGGATTTCAAATATCAACTTACCTGAGAAATGAAGATTAAATCCTTCTAGCTCACACTTACTTGGGTGGATAAAAATTATAATCTTTCAAATTGTATGAATTGGTTTCATTTCTCATTAGAGATATCCTGGTCCAGGGTTTCAGAGGACTCCTGTGTTTGGTCCTTTTACTCTACCTGTGCATCTCTGAATTTCTCTCCTCCTGCTCTCAATGGTAAGAACAGTCAGATTTCATGCTCCAAAGACTGACTGGCATCAGTTTTTATTTCCATTCCAAACTTCTGGCTTTTTATCAAACGGTACTGAATATTTTCACAACACCTGACAAATGGAGCTTATGGACAAGGGGTTATTACTATAAAGGCAAGTCCTGGCTCATACTGATGATGAAGTTCTCTGTTAGGGTTTAGATATGAGGTATCCCCTAAAAGCTCATGGGTGAGACAAAGCAAGAATTTGTATGGGTGGAATGATTAGATTATGAGCCATATAATAATCAGGGAATTAATCCACTAATATTGATTAATTGAGTAGTAACTCTAGGCAGGTAGGGTGTGATCAGAGGAAGTAGGTCACTGGGGTTGTGCTTTGGGGGTTTATATTTTGTCCCTGGTAAACAGAACTCTCTCCACTTCCTGGTTGCCATATCCTGCGCTGTTTCCTCTGCCCTTTCGCCATGATATTCTGCCTCACCTTGGACCCAGCTAACTGTGGACTGAACCTCTGAAACCAGAAACCAAAATAAACATTTATTCCTCTAAGCTGTTCTACCAGGCCTTTTTACAACAGTAAAAAGGCTGACTAAACAGTCCCTAATGTTATTCTAA